GTAGCATCGTCAACAAGTCGCATAGTAAACACTGATATTGTTTTTTGTTGCATGCTATGATATATAATTATACTGTTCAATAGAACTGAGGTACTGCCAAACATAAATTAATTTTATTTTCTGCCAGGCGACATTTCCGGTCATTGTAGCCTCTGCTACATGTATCTTTCCCGACTTGCATAGATACTAGGTCTCCTAAACCTAAAACGGCATGTTTGGAAGACAGGGCAAACTGTACTCAGATTTATGCTGTTAACAACTATAGAATTTCCCAAGTTAAATATTTGTGGTCGGCAATAGATTTTGTTGTAATGCTTCTCAGCCTGGCTTACATGTCTCTGTATTGCTGCATACCAACCCAGTGATCTGTTCGTATGTTTTCAAGGAAGAGTCATCATAGCTATAGATTTAATTAATGCATTTGTGAAATAAGAGGGTTGTTGTTGTTTTGTAGAGTTTAAAGTTTAAAGTCTATTGAAGGAGGCATTGGAAACAGTGTTGTCTGATGATAGCTGAAATGTTCGGAAATGACAAATCTGCTAAACCCTAGTGTCATTTGTTTTGAATTTCTGTTTGAGAAGTTACAATGACACATTAATTCATAACCTATGCAACTCCATAATAAATCATCTGAAAGTAAAAGATAAGAAATTCAGACAGCATTAAAATGTAGGATTTATGGTCAAATAATCCAGGGGCTGGTTGCAGTAATGACTGTAAGGTCTGGTTGCTGAAAAAAATGTCACCTTGTCATACTGAAGGTAGGCAACATGTCAATGCGATGAAGAAATAAAATATATGTTAACAATGAGAGAAATGCTCCCCCTTTTTTGTATACTACATGTCTGAATCAATTTTTTGGAAATGCCTTTCTCCTCTAAGTTAGGCAGTACATAAAGATAAATTTTGAATTTCCAAGAAAGTGTGCACCTTATTTTCTTTATTAGTAGTGCATACCCGGTACACTGACACGAAGGACAGAGTTTTCTATATTGTCAAGTCATATTTGAATAACTGTCAAATACTTATTTACGCTTGAAATTAATTTTCAGTATTTTCACTGAATGAATAATTCAGTGAAAGTAATATCAAGCAAATATATTTTACATTCAACTCTTCAAAAATCAGTGAAAATAAATTCCATACTGAACACCCAAAAGTAATTTCAGCGAAAATTTATTCCAGCTAAAAAAAAAGTATTTTACAGTATACAATAATGCATTAATTAATGTGCTTCTACCAGAGGTACGCTTCTAATAAAAAAAATTTGGTAACACCACTGCTTTTCACTGTGTGCCAGAGATTTGCACATATAAACACGTTTACAGCTTGTGAAATGAACGATTTTTAGGTCATCACTATTGACTAATTTTAAAGATGTTTATATCATCGGTACATCAAAGTGAAGCAATGAAATGATGATTTATGGTGCAGTCTCATGACACAAGACAGCCAACACGGCTCAATTCATACATGCATGTAGCTGGGTGGGCTTCATGTTTTAAGAGTTAGCAGTTCCATGGCGATGTTGCATTGTCCCGGGTTTAGTAGGTACTTAAAGCCATGCAAGAAAGTGTTAACACAAAAAAAATAAATGTCACATTGTTCAATTTGTATAGGATACCCATAATATGATATCATAGCATCCTTGCCCTGCCGAAGTGGGGGAATTGACGCAGGGAAAGGTATAATATTGTAGCATCCTTGCCCTGCAAAGCGAGGGAATTGATGCAGGGAAAGGTATAATATTGTAGCATCCTTGCCCTGCCAAAGCGAGGGAATTGACACAGGGAAAGGCATGATATCGTAGCAACCTTGCCCTGCCAAAGCGCGGGAATTGACGCAAGGAAAGGCATGATATTGTATCATCCTTGCCCTGCCGATGTAGAGGAATTGACGCAGGGAAAGGTATGATATCATAGCATCCTTGCCTTGCCGAAGCGAGGGAATTGACTCAGGGAAAGGTATGATATCATAGCCTTCTTGCCCTGCCGAAGCGAGGGAATTGATGCAGGGAAAGGTATGATATCATAGCATTCTTTCCCTGCCGAGGGGGGGGGGGATTGACGCAGGGAAAGGTGTGATATCGTAACATCCTTGCCTTACCGAAGTGGGCGAATTGACTCAGGGAAAAGTATGATATCATAGCATCCTTTCCCTGCCGAAGCGGGGGAATTGACGCAGGGAAAGGTATGATATCATAGCATCCTTGCCCTGCCGAAGTGGGGGAATTGACGCAGGGAAAAGTATGATATTGTAGCATCCTTGCCTTGCCAAAGTGGGGGAATTGATGCAGGGAAAGGTATGATATCGTAGCATCCTCGCCTTGCCGAAGTGGGGGAATTTACGCAGGGAAAGGTATGATATCGTAGCATCCTCGCCTTGCCGAAGTGGGGGAATTGATGCAGGGAAAGGTATGATATTGTAGCATCCTTGCCATGCCGAAGTGGGGGAATTGACGCAGGAAAGGTATGATATCGTAGCATCCTTGCCCTGCCGAAGTGGGGGAATTGACGCAGGGAAAGGTATGATATTGTAGCATCCTTGCCCTGCCAAGTGGGGGAATTGACGCAGGGAAAGGTATGATATCATAGCATCCTTTCCCTGCCAAAGCGGGGGAATTGAAGCAGGGAAAGGTATGATATTGTAGCATCCTTGCCCTGCCAAAGCGGGGGAATTGACGCAGGGAAAGGCATGATATAGCATCCTTGCCCTGCCAAAGTGAGGGAATTGACGCAGGGAAAGGTATGATATCGTAGCATCCTTGCCCTGCCAAAGTGGGGGAATTGACGCAGGGAAAGATATGATATCGTAGCATCCTTGCCATGCCGAAGTGGGGGAATGACGCAGGGAAAGGTATGATATCATAGCATCCTTTCCCTGCCGAAGTGGGGGAATTGACGCAGGGAAAGGTATGATATCGTAGCATCCTTGTCATGCCGAAGTGGGGGAATTGACGCAGGGAAAGGTATGATATCGTAGCATCCTTGCCATGCCAAAGTGGGGGAATTGACCCAAGAAAAGGTTATCACATTAATTTGTTAATTTGTTTTTGGTTACTAAAAATATTCCATCTTGTTCTTTGTTAAGCTCAGCAAAACTCAATGAGTTTGAATCTTATTTGGAGAAAACACTTTTAGTTTTCTATTACAGTGATGTTAGTTTTTGTTATCTAATTATACTATCTAAAATATCCGAGAACATGGAATTAATTTTTTTTGACTTTTCATGGAATCTATTAAAAATAAATGTACTGCAATGAAGAACTGATGTTGGCACGTAAAAATTAAACTGATCATAAAATCTGTTGTCTTCCTATCAATTTCCTTTGAAATATTGCCATATCTATCAGAACATTCTTAGCAGTGTTTTGACTTTGGCGCTTTCAGTCCTTATGGATGGTGCCCAGGACACAACCACAGGGATGCTGAACGGTAAAATTTGTATACAGAATACACTTTGTTTTTTCAACTTTTTGTTGTACACACGTATCTTATGTGTTATATTGAGGATGAAAATTAATAATTATGGTTGTAAATATGGCTTGCGAAACCTGTGTTCATGGACGGTTGATTTTGCAATCTTTTAATTTTGTGGGTGATGGCTTCTCTTCGAAAACTATTTTCAATCAGATTTTGAGCAAAGGAATTGCAAGAAATATGTTACTAAAATATTGAATAGAGAATGTTCTACATTTGTACGCAATAATTATGTAATCACAAGCGTGCAATTTAATTTCAAATTTACACCCCAATCTAATGTAGTGATACTTTCGATACCCCAAATAATATTCAAAGAGAAATGGATAGTAAGATAGCAGTTTTCATGATAATTTGTTTTTCGCCCGCTGTAATATTTCACAAGATAAATTATCTCATATCGTTGGGTTTTTTTTTGCAGCAAAACATAGGCTCGAAGATAAATTAGCTGCTGCAGCCAGAGAGAAACTAGCACAAACATCCCGAGAGCGACAGTTACAATTAGAAAGAAAGAAAAAGGCTGCTATGTTTATAAGTATGATAAAACCTCCAGCAGTTGCAACATCTACAGGGACTCCAGACAACACAGCATTATGCACTGGTAAGAAAAACAGCTTTAGGCGTAGAAGTTTCATGAAACCTAGCATCGGAAATGCATGTCACAGATTTTTTTTCAGGTTTTGGGTTAAAATTTTAGAAACGAATGAATACAAATTATTTTCATGAAAAACCAAATAAAATCACAATTTGAAAAATAAAAACATGTTGATTTTGAAAAATAAATTAAGAAAAGACTTATTGACTCTCCAGGTGTTAATTACTCAGTGGAAGTTCTTATTCTAATCATTATTTACAAACTGTAAAACGTGGTACATGCTCTGAGATATTGCTCTCAATTTTTGCATATTAATAGCCATATATGTGTTTTTATGTAATAGATTTTGGGGTAGAGGTGTTCAATAATTGCATTAATTATATACTATCATTTTAAAATATCATTTTGTTTGACCATAAGTATATCTATCATTCACTTAAGTGTATGTGATACTAATAGAAAAACCGTGTGCAGTGAAAAAGGCTCAGTGGTCTACCAGTTGAAAAATGGTCTACGCAGTTAATAATGGCACTCTGTCTTACTGCAAGATGTGGTCATACAAATAAAAACAGTGTATTATTACTGTCTAAGTTATCTCCACTGTGCCATTATTACCTCTGACATTTTTAAGTTTCGCTGTCATCAAAGATGATAGGCAGAGCTGTTGGTGTAGGTGATTGACCGTTATTGACGTCCACATCAACTTTTTTTATCATCTGTAGAACACATGTTCATTCACAATACTGTAAGTTCAAATATAGTATGATGATGCTGTAAATAGCTTTTATTTCGCGAGAGACACAGTTTTGCAATTTCCAGGAATTAGTCAAAATCAGGAAATTTGTAGTACTTTGTAGTAAAAATATCTCTGTTGTTCTATGACATGGAGTGTCATTGACTATTGCAAAATTTTGTCTTTATGATTGCCAATAAAACCTTGTAATTGCGAACATTCTAGCAGTAAAACTTAAACAATTTGCAGTACACTGGAACTGTGCCAGGTCAAAGACCTCTGGTAAGGTTTAAGCTGCCCATGTTTATAATGGTCGTTGTTGGAAATTGTCAAGCCCTTTGGCATTTCTCAATTACATTCACAATTTGTTGGGTGTGGTATAGGTGGGACAGACACAGGCAATTTACTTTGAATGAGAAAGAAAGACAGACAACCATTTAAATCTGTCAATAAATATTAATTGAACCCTAGACTTCTAAGTTCTATGATTGAACCCTGTTTCAGTTGCATAACTGGTTAATGAACTAATAACCATGACAGTTTTGATGAAATTTCAAAACTTGTTTTGTTTGTTATCAGCATTCTTCCTGCTGTGTTGATAATTAGATGTGCATGTCGAACAGATGTCCATTTCATGCATGTGTGACAAATCAGTACTACAAAAGGTCATTTATTCATCATTCTAAATTTATTTCCCAATTCTCATTACTGATGTTTGTCCAGGCAGGCATAAACCTATGATCCAAGGCAACATTTTACAAAATATTTCACAAAATAATGCCTCATGAATTGATGAATATTTTAATAACTAATGTGCCTGGGCCAGATTTTTGTGACACAAGTATCTATTTCCAAATCCCTATTTTGACAGGAGCTGAAAACAACAGACAGATTAACATGTATAAACAGCTGTGAAAATTAGTGTTCAGACTGCACTCATTAGGTGGTTGTCTCCTTTCATGGTGTCAGTATCCTGGGAATTATTCTATGTATCTATGTGGCACATGGTTTTAATACTTAGTACAAACTTTAGATATTTTACTGTGTGAAAGATTTCAAATAAACGACAGAGGAAATAAGGGGTTGATGGCATCAAGCTTGTTTCCATGGAAACAATGACTTTATAATTTCCTCATAGTTTTAAGCCCGACTGAGGTGGTCTTTTTGAATTGAGAATAATAACATAAAAATATCTACAACTATGGTTCATCACTTAAAAACAGTTTGGGGTACCGTACATTTTCTTTTTCAAATAGGTAATTTCAAAGTTCTGCGTTGTTTTTTCAATGACTCTTTTCTTAGGACTTAGAATAAAATCTCCAAATTGTTATTTGACTGTTTCTTCTTTTTTCCTCCTCCTAGTTTCCTCACCAAGTTCTGTTCGAAGTGAATCTCCCGGTGTACAAATAGATAGTCCTGTACGATACTCTCCTCATTCCCGGTCGTTATCTCCTGTCAAAAGGCGATCCAAGTCTCCTCCTAGGTCCTATAGAAGCTCTCACAAGTAAGTAAACTCAATAAGAAATTATAATGAAAATAAGGTTACCGGTAAGAGTGGTTGACAGCGTAGTGTCAAATAGATGTATGGCATTTATTTCCAGTAGGATCATAAGTGCACACCAAATTTAGACAAAACTTTTTTATGTAATTAAGTTAGACGTTCTTACTGAATTTCAGCTTAAATGTTAGTTTTGATCTAATAAATAGCCATATACCGTCCATGAAATGAAAACATATCAGTAAGGCCAGGAAAAAAAATTCTGTTTCTCGTGTCATGGAAATTTTAAAATGAGGCGATTTTTTTTTTTTTTTTTGAATACTGAGCTAAAATGACGCAAATTTGAGACAAGTGCGAGTACAAGCACATTTTGGAATGCTTTAGAAGGAAAAAAAACGTCTGAGGCGCATAGTTCAAAGTGATGCATGCGGAAATGAGAAATGGAGATATTTTTTTTCTCAGCCTAACTTATGTAGGTTATTAAATGTTCTCTCTTTTCTTATTCTACAGATTTTATCCAAGGGCAAGATCAAAATCACCTACAATGCGTAGTTCAAAGCCACGTAAACGACGGCGACATAAATCACCATCCGCCAGAGTTATGAAACATAGCAGTAGCAGTAATCATAGGTAATGCCAAACACTATCATTGATCTACTGGTCACTGTTACATCTCGTCGTTGATCTACTGGTCAGTGTTACATCTCATTGATCTACTGCTCAGTGTTGCATCTCATTGATCTACTGGTCAGTGTAACATCTTGTCACTGATCCACTGGCCAGTGTTACATCTCATTGTTGATCCACTGGTCAGTGTTACACGTTGTCATTGATCTACTGGTCTGTGTTGCACCTCATCATTGATCCACTGTTCAGTGTTGTATCTCCTCATTGATCCACTGGTCAGTGTTACATCTCGTCATTGATCTCCTGGTCAGTGTTACCTCTCGTCATTGATCTACTGGTCAGTGTTACATCTCATTGATCTCCTGGTCAGTGTTACATCTTGTCACTGATCCACTGGCCAGTGTTACATCTCATTGTTGATCCACTGGTCAGTGTTACATTTCATCATTGGTCCACTGGTCAGTGTTACATGTTGTCATTGATCTTATCATGGATGCTTATCCAAGTGTGTGTTTCTCGATTCAATTATATTTGTTGTTGTTTAATTATAGTTATTATTTTTCATTCGTATTTAGTTTGTATCGATAGACAATCATTTTCTGTATTTGTTTGTTTTCATTTCATTCGATTCCAAGCATTATTCTCTGAGTTATGTCTGTTAGAAGCCGTTTCATGCTTCATTTCACCTCACTATACATGTATTCCTATGACAAAGAAGCACAAATCAATTTATTGTTAGCCATTTACGTAATGTTCACAAACATGCCTTTATCACAGCGAACGCAAGAGAAATCGCAACTTTGTAGCGGATTAAGCCGAAATGTTTATTCTGTAGTGACCTTCTCACATGGCACACCAATTATAGTGTTCCCCCCCCCCTAATTTTATAATCCGCGGTGTAATCATATTAACCTATATAATGGGTGTTTTAGTACATGTTTAGGGTGGATTGTACTTTGATGCCAGACTTCCCTTCCGAAATAAACAACGTATTACAGTCTACCATAGTCTCTTACTTGTGCTACCATTACACAATCACAGTGCTCACAGTTATTTTTGGACCTGATCGAATGTGTGCGATAGACAGCCACAGACCTACTGGTCTGTGTTGCACCTCATCATTGATCCACTGTACAGTGTTGTATCTCCTCATTGATCCACTGGTCAGTGTTACATCTCATCATTAATCGACTGGTCAGTGTTACATCTCATCATTGATCAACTGACCAATGTTACATCTTATCATTCATCTACTGGTCAGTGTTACATCTTATTGATCGACTGGTCAATGTTAAATCTCATCAATCGACTGGTCAATGTTAAATCTCATCATTCATCCACTGGTCAGTGTTAGATCTCGTCATTCATCCACTGGTCAGTGTTACATCTCGTCATTCATCCACTGGTCAGTGTTACATCTCGTCATTGATCAACTGGTCAATGTTACATCTCATCATTCATACACTGGTCAGTGCTACATCTCATCATTGATCGACTGGTCAGTGTTACATCACATTGATCAACTGGTCAATGTTACATCTCATCATTGATCCACTGGTCAGTGTTAAATCTCGTCATTGATCCACTGGTCAGTGTTACATCTCATCATTGATCTACTGGTCTGTGTTAAATCTTACCATTGATCCACTGGTCAGTGTTACATCACATTGATCCACTGGTCATTGTTACATCTCATTGATCTACTGCTCAGTGTTGAACCTCATCATTGATCCACTGGTCAGTGTTACATCACATTGATCTACTGCTCAGTGTTGCATCTCATGATTGATTCATTGGTCTGTGTTATACCCCCATTGTTGTTCTACTGATCGGTGTTGTATCTCATTGATCCACTGGTCATTGTTACATCTCATCATTGATCCACTAGTCAGTGTTGCACATCATTGATCTACTGCTCAGTGCTAAATCTTATCATTGATCCACTGGACTGATCATTGTTGTTTGCCTGGTTGAGTTAGCTCTTATCATTTATCCACAATGTGTCAATATTGTCATTGATCTCTACTAGTAGGACTTTGTCTTTTCATTGATTTCTGTTCAATGTTAAATCATGTCATTTGTATATGGCAAATTTTATTGACACTCAATTGTGTTTGAATCTTGTTCATTGGTACAA